CGAGAGAGGTGAGTATCCTTAACACTGTCCCCTTCCGGCTGCATTCAGTGGTATCATCTATGCTTAGTTCAGAAAGCACAGGGAATCTTAAGACACAARAAGGACTTGGATACTTATGAAACCATCTCATTGGTCTTAAAGCAAAAGACAAAAATAAGAACAATCAAGAAAAACACAAACTACCCTTCTTCTCCCCACCCAAAGCAAACAGCAGTAAGACAACAYCTCTTGAGTAATCCTGGTAGTGGAGAGAGTTGCTCCAGCCATCTTATTTTAACRGAGATGTAAAAAACCTGGAAGAAACTTGAGATAATATGACAAAGTAAAAATATATCTGTAATTCAAACTTAAGCTGTGCAAAGCAAGAGGAGTCAGATCTAGAGATAGCAACTCAACAGTTTCAACATCCCTTGGTTAGAAAATATTTCAGTGTTCAAAAGGTAATTATCTCTCAGACAGAAGAGTGGTATTGATGATTAAACTTCACATGTTTACCAGGAAGATGGAAGCAGCTTTGCTCATTAACTCTGTTTATAGCCCTATGTAAGCGTGTAGAAGTGGTTGCAGTGGGTCCACGTACGCAGGGCCCGTTTCTGACAGGCAGCAAGTGTAGGCAGCTGCCTGGCTCTGTGGGGCTGCGTTCTCACAGCCTCCAGCCATTAGTGGTTTAGGGACTTCAAGGTGGAGATGGCTTCTATGTATTTAATAACCCTTAATGAATTTTTTCCCAATTATTTGTTTAGTCTCTCTTTTGAGACATATAAATATTTAGCATTCACATCGCACCTATGTCAGTAGACAGAAAGGTACTTCTAAAGCTCAGCACAACTTGTTTCAGATTTCAACACTAGCTRAATGAATCACAGTCCATCAGCTAGGAAAGGAATCCAAGTCTACATGTGGGATATCCACATGGCAGAAAAGCAGGATTCACATCACCTCACTTTAAAGCAGATGCTGTAAGATTCAGACATGGGCCAGMACAAAGTTGTTTTTAAAATTCAGATTACACACAGGGAAGCAGGTTTCACTCTTTCACAGCCTAGTCAGTAAAAGTAATTTKGTTTATAGCATAGGACTTGCATAGCAGCTTGGTATAAAACTARTGCAAAACGGGGAACCCAGTTATTGTGCATTTTCACTAATGTGGTTCCCTATTCCCTGGGGAACCAAAYGTACCTTTCTTTGCCCAGTATTCTGCTTTATACAGACCTACTAAAGATCTAAGAGTCATGAACGCTTAAGGTAAAGCAAATGTTTTTATCTCTAGCTGCAAAGTACTTAGTAGGTCATTTTTCCAATATTTCAGTGAAATTTGATAAAAATTAGATTTTATATCTTTTCTGATTATTAGMTGTGTTGTATATTTGAAAGCTGTACTTCAGATTGTTGCCTGGTGAAAAAACYTAGTATGAGAACACCAATAAAACGGAAATCTGTCACATCAAGGAGARTGGGGAAAAAAAGCACCATCAAAAGGCTAAAAATTGCATGACTCATACAATATATTAATGAATCAGTCTGCAGTTTAAAAGGTACAAAATAAATTTCATTTTTGAGCAGTTCTCTATAACTTTGACAAAATGTCTACATGGCAACAATGTATCAGATTTTCTGTTAACCAAAATGTTGAAAAATGGTGAAAAAACAGGAGTTTTCTCCTGTTATTTGCATAACACAGAGACATAGAACCAGCTTCCAGTATTTATAAGTTTAATTCCTGAATAATCTTTCCCAAGTTTTCTTCACTTCTTTTGACTTAWTAATTATCTTGCTAAGACCTAACTGTAGTTACTGTATCAGGTCTTGCAAAGACACTGTTTCACTATGATGTTTTAGGTGGATAAATTCTGTATTACAGGAAATACTTATTTTCATTTAAAYATTAATGTAATCTTAGGCAATTAAGCCTTTATACCCCTCCAAAGAMAATATTTAATCATAAAATGTTGTCAAACGGCCTGTATAAACTGCAGAACAGCCACCTCGTGCTAGGCACTGCAAAAGCAGCACTTGAACCACCTTGCCCCCATACTCAGCAAATCCTCTGAAGAACAGGAACAGGTATATAAAGCAAATTCCTTCTAAAAAAAGTCATTGTGATTCATCATTTATATTTTATATCTGTTCACAACAATGTCTATAGGCTTTTTTTTTTTTTTTTTTTGAAGGGAAACTGGCATTACATTCATACATACATACATACATTCTATGATTCAGGTACAAAAGCAGTTTTAGGTAAAATATTTGAGCTACGGATTATAAATTCATATTTAAATTCCCTTAGGACTCTTGCAAGACTACTGCCTTGCTTTTGTATTTATTTTCATTAATTTATTCAAAAAGTTTGCTAACATTTCTTGTGCAGGACTGTTTCAGGACATGGACCTCTCTTGGATCCTTCATGGTGAATGCAAAGAATCCACATTTCAACAGCAATCCAAGTTGTAACCCAATACCAAATCAATTAATATCAAATTAATTTACCTGTTGTGCGAGGTAGGGACATTTACTACAAAAATCTCTAATGCTGGTGATGTTGTTATACTCCAGCATTAATCAAGCCCTTAAAAAAAAAGAGGTGGGGGAAGAAAGTCAACTACTTTATAATCTTTCTTTCCTTCTCAGAMAAGGATTTTTCAAGGCGAACTCCATTACCAGGCAAACCATAATTACTGTACAACTGCCTAAAGACGTTCTTATTAATAGCTTATTTCAGGCTTATATGCACTATTTTTTCTTTTTGTAATAGCTAAATATACCAGCAAGTCCAGTAACCAAACACTGTCAGGTAACTGTATCGCTGGCAAAACCAACTACGTAAGTTCCTAGCATGAAATTACAAGCAAAAGCTAAAATTAGTCTGAATTTGCTTTTCCCTTTCTACCTACCACATGACAAAACTTCACAGATAAGGGTAATTAAATTTTCCATTTCATAATATCACTTTTAACTAGTCTGACTTGGTTTAAATTATCCATCAAATTGCACAGTTAAGGAATACAGTGCTAAAAAACCTGAACTGGTGCTCTTATGTTCCTGACAGTCTTTAAGTTCCATTACAACATCATGATTTTAAGAAGCTCAGGGCCTCTGGTATAATATGAAATTGTTCACTGAAATTAGGAATTCTACCCACCTTCAGAATAACTTTTTATCCAGCAAAAAAAAAAAAAAAAGAAAAAAAAACCCACCACATCCTCATTTTTTCACACCCAAACGATCCAAAACATATTGAAGTATATGCACACATGCACCTGCATTTTGTAGTGAGTCCAAAACTCCAAAGGGTTTCTTAGATATTTCTATATGCATTCAGCAGTAGGATTAGTGAACACTTATTTCCAGCACTGTAATTTAGCTTCAGTAAGAGAAAGTTAATAAATTGTCCCGATCAAGATAGGTCAGAACAATCAGCTAAACTTTTTTTTTCCTCCCCTGAGGTGGATCATCAGTGAATTGACATAAAAGAAGATATATTTAAAACAGAACACAATCATGCAAGAATATATGCAGAGAACTTGGGGAAAAGATGGTGGAAGGAGGAAATATGGAAATAGGTAGGGTAAAAGAAAAGAAACTGATATTATTAGCAAAGTTAAAATTTAACCAAACTCTTATCCTCCCTCCTCCCCCCATCACCCTCAGACAGAAGGCACAACACTGGAGTGGCGAACATAGAATCACAGAAAGCTTAAGGTTGGAAGGGACCTCAGAGGCCATCTAGTCCAACCCCCCTGCTCACGCAGGGTCACCTAGAGACATCCTAAAATTTGTGCACCAGGACTTTCATACGGACAAAGGCTGTTGAAGTACATATATATATATATATATATATATATATATATATACACACACACGTACATATCACATACCTTGGAGAGCTGATATGAGAAAAAGCAGTTACTTTCTATAGACCAATGGCCTATAATGTCCCAGTTTCTTCAGAGATCATTGCTGATTTGTATCTATAAAAATTTTGGAGGCTGTAGTATCTCATAGTAACTGATAAAATGCTCAGCTGCAGATGAGGAAAGGTGTACTTAGGGAAGCGCGCGCACACACACACACTTTGTAATTAAATTCAATGATTATGAGTTGTTGTGCCTATATGCTAAGTAAAAGTTGAAGGAAAAAGTATTAAATCAAAAGCAGAATCTRTGCAAGATCAAGAATTCCAAACATAACACTGCGTATCATAGTAACTAATGATTTAAATGTCACATAACACAAAATAAGTGTTGGTTGAATAAGGTTGGAAATAAGGTTGAAATGTTATCACCATCTTTTTTGTTATGTAATAGGAAACCTCAATGTAGATAAATATGTAACTAGCAAGAAAAAATCAAAAATATAATTATATAATTAATATGGTATAATTTTACCTATTAATATGGTATAATATTCACCARCAGGCCTGATGCTACGACAGGCAACTGATGCTCTTCTGACTTAATYTGTAAATATTTAACTAGTTTAGCTGCAGTTCTGAAAAGCATCAAGAAGAAACAATTATAATCTCAGTGTTTTGGACCAAACTTTGTGTATGTTTAATGAAAAAAATCCAATGGTTTCTATTCAAGCCATGAATGCCACTAGAATAATTACAATTTTAATTTGCACAGAAAGGAGCTTGAACACCATCCATTTCTGGGGAGTGGTCAACATAACACTACAACTTTAACTTCTGTATATCGTACTTTACTATTTGACTGATTATTTTTTTCCTGTATAGCAAGGTATTATCTTCTACTGATATATTTGGTTCATACTGGGCTGATGGTAACTTTAAACAAGATATTGAAAATAATGCTATGATGAAAGACAAATGACAATCTTTAAAGTTGCAGCTGATTTCAAACATTCCTTTTGATAGATTCCTTGTATAGTAATTTTCTGGAAGTATGAACACCCCAAATCTCCTCTATATATAGGGAAGTTTGTAACAGGTTCAATTGGAGACATCAAAAACATTTTAAATAGACATCACAAGATGCATCTGTAGTTTAAAGGTCAAATTTATTAGGAGATTAAGAGATGTATTATACATGGCCTATAAATACAGCACAGCTGACTTTATTAACAGTCAGACAGATAGCCAATGCCAACCTATTTTGTAGACACCCTTGTTCTCTTGTTCCAAGAAAAGTTTGCACCATAAGACTTGGATTTAGGTTTTGGAATTCTCCTCTCTTCAACATCATAGCTCCAGCCTGGGGGGCGAGGGGAGGGAAGAGAGAACAAGACAAGAAACAAAGAGAATTCTAAACATGCACAGCATATAATACAGGGCAAATGCAACTTAAACCTTTTAACTTTAATCTTTTTTTCCTCCAGATAGGCATCCACTAGTTGACTCCTTTGTAGTTGGCAGCAGAGACTGCAGAAATGCCATAAATGTGACATACGCCTGTTCTCATAATTGTCAGACTTCATCATACTTCATACTGCATACTTCAATTTTCATTGCTCCTGACAGATATATTATTGAAAAAAAAAAACTTGATAGTCATCAGTGAACCTCAACACTGGCTGTTTCTGTGTGCAACCCTGTGAGTTCATGGCTACAACTCTGTAACATCACAGACAGAATGTACAGCAGACCAATATGAAAAGCATGAGAGAGAAAGGAGACTTTGGAAAGCAAGAAAAAAAGAAGAAAAAAAAAGGGTGAGAGGACCAAAGAAAGGAAGAACAAATTAAAAAAAGCCTTCAGCATTGGAAAAGAATAAGATACTTAATTTTTTTTTTTAAAGAACACAGAAAATCAGGAGTCAGAGAGAAGGCAATGAAGTGATAGAAGACAGGTAAATTATATGATAGTTAAGCAAGAGAAATGCTAAAAAAGTGTCAAAAAAGAGGGGGTGGAGACATTAGTGTTTATGGAAATCAATATGCAGATGGGTTGCAGCCTCCAAGTGCCTGGAACTTTGCCAGGGCAGCACTCAATATTCCAAAGTTTGGTCTCTCTAGCTGTAATATTTCACTCAAAGTTAAGGGACTGGAGCTGAAGCTAGAGGTGTTTGAGAAGGTGGTTTTAACTGATTAATAATGAGAACACATTTCCTCCTTAGTTTTAAAACAAAAACTTGATAACACCCGAAATGTTTGCTATACATCTATGTATTTACATTTTTAAAGCGTACACATATGTTTGTACACACAATTTCTGAATTCAGTCAGCTTTCTGTTATTCACAGGAAGCATGAAACACATTTACCTATCAAAAAGGAGTAGTAAAATACACTAGTTGTCATGCGGCTGCACCTCCCTTCTATGTGCTCACAAGCTCCACAGAAACATGTTCTTTTTTTGTAAGTAATTTGAACCAACGTTAATTTCCAGGTTTACTATTCTGCCTAAGAAATATGGGATGGCAATTTAAAGAAAAACATATTCTTTCCATCTGTGACAGCGTCAATTTCCTCCTACTGTTCTCATTAAAATACAAGCTTGAATAAACAGAACGAGATCCAGACATTGGTATCAGCAACATTCAGCATTATAACACCTAACCTCGAGGCCTTCAACTCCCAGAAGGGAATCTACAGCCCTGAGTTACTGCTCCACCTTTCAATGCACTAGGCAGAGAGAAGGGAAGAGCCTCCAAAGAAATTCCCAACTGCCAGCACAGTGACTTGGGCTGCCAGAGCCATCCCAAAGCCACCACGTTACTCACACCTAACTTTGGATTGCAAGAGGCAGCTGTGTGTGATAAAGTGTCACGCTCTGGAACAGTCACTCTGAGTCAGACACCTTGGGTTGCTCCTGACGGAAAGCAGAGGTCACTTTTACAGAAATACAGCCACGGTGGGGGAGGTCAGTGCTGCCCAGAACTCGGGCGTACAAACTATGGGGGTACAGAGCAGATTTCAGCACTTCGGGGAGAAGAGCCTAGTCACCTCACTAAAGGCAACTGTGGAGTAACAAAACTGCCATCCTTGTTACTAAAGCTGTAGTGGTTTTAAACAACTGCATCAGTAACTGCAGAGAGAGGGAAAAACAAAACAGAACGAAACTACGTTTCAGACTAAACTTCTCATTTCTTCTGGCTGCAGGTGTTACCTTCTTGCTTTGGCTTCACACCATTCCCCTGTTACTGTACCCAGTGCGACTAGAGGAGATGCCTCAGTGGGGACAGGAAGAACTCCCCTGAGGTTTCTGAAGGGCTGAAGTGACAGAGATTTGCTGGAATGATTCACAGTCATTCCAGAATAGCTGCAGTACCCTACATGTGCAGAAACAAAACTTGAAGTTCTTAAGGAACTTTGTTAAGGAAAACTTGGACGGTTCATATGCAAAAGATACAGGGGTGAATACTGTGTTCCTAGACTTAGGACTGTTACACTAGACCGCAGTTTAGCGGCCAAATTCCACCACAAATGTACATTTAAGCTTCCCATTTCCTTCCCAAAGCAGAACGAAATCTTGTAAAATATAGGCATCCAGCTCTATCTGGTGCTGAAGCTACCAATACAGAAAACACTATGCAGAAAATACTAGGCACATTTCATACATAGTTAGGTATGACCCACGCCACAACCTAATGAACACTAAAGCTCATGCTGAGCTGGTAGACACTTAATTTTAGCCTTTCTGATTGTCATCCACAGGTGTTGTGGTAGTCCTTCCTTAACCAGCATTGAGGTGCTCATGACATGGCTTAGCGGGGGAAGAGAAAAATAGTAAAAATAAAAATCAGACTAGCAGGTCCTGGGGCCCTCCAACCAGAGTACTCTCATAGTATTCACGCTACCTTTTCTTCAAGACCTGAGCAGCTCTCAGTTCTCACTGAAAACACAGATGCTCGCACAAGTATTACGGAAGTAATGCAGGGAGGATGCAGCACTTTTCCAGGAAGTGGAAGGTCTAGATTCAATGCCATCCTCATCCTCAGAAATTCAACTTCCTGCCCCCAAGTTTTCCACTTCCTCAAGCAGAGCACTAAGGGGCTAATATTTTGTGTTTTGTACAGCAGAGCAGAAATTCCTTAACAAGATTGTCTATAGAAATTGGAACCCACCACACCTAATACGTACCATTTTTTTCAGCAAAGGCAATGGCATCTTCTTTAGTAGAGAACGTCAGAACCATGTTGGATAAAGGATCAGCTCTACAAGAAAACAGATGACAAATTCTAAGCAAACTGGAACACGAAATTCTTAACTATATGCTACCCAAATGCTGTATTAATTAACAACTAACAATTGATTTTAGTATAATTCTTCAAAAACATCATTCTCAAATTTCTGCCATTCAAAATCCTTTTTTTTTTTTTTTTTTTTTTTTTTAAATTATTGCAAGGATGAACACTTACTTTGTTTTTCATTACTGCATGGATGAACACTTACTTTGTGCAGACAGTCTTTTGCTCTTTCGGTCTGTTGAATCAATTCCTTCTCTCCCTACTCCCTCCAGAAACTATGGCCTTAAATTTTTTATTCAACAAATCAGTCTAACTGTTACCTGCTGAGACAAAGTGCTCTGCAATAATCTTTTTAAATATGGAAGCTATGTACAGTGCAAGGGACCTTTTCTGAGACTGCAATGTTAAAGGTAATTCAAGAAAGCCAGAAGTCTGTAAAACAACTAGGGAAAGAATAATCTTCACCAGAAGARAATATTATATCACGGTAAGCAGAATAGGAATGAATCAGGGATTGAAAAGAACATGCACAAATTCAGAGCTCCAGCCTAGCTGAGTCATATGATCGCCATAATTTATTCAAGTACAGCAATCAAAAATCAGGCCTCAGCTTAAAGTTCAGGAACTTAAATTGCTACCTGATTACACAGATGTTATGTTTAGATGATCAGCTATTTCTCAAAAACACAAGCAAAAAGCTATTTATTTGAAACATATTAGATCTCCGTAAAAATCGAAATACCTAATTTGATGTTATAAAAACTCAATTTGTTGCTATAAAAACAACAAAAATTATGAAAGCAAGAATGGTTCTACAAATTTGCCTACAAAATTATTACGGAAATTAAATAAGAAATCTGCTGTAGCTGCAAAAATCTTTCCATAATGCTTCCCTGAGACAGCACTGCATATGAGCCGGGGATGAGTGACAAGACAAGACCAAACTGCAGCCAACTACTGAAGGGGCTGCCTCTCAACTGCTCGCTCTCTTTGAAGCCATAAGGGTAGGCGAAGAGAAAAAAAGCAATCAAAGATACATTGAATTCTTCACAATAAAGGACAAAGCCTGTGACAGGAGGAGGGGACGAGGGGGAATCTAGCTTCCAGCAAAGACAACAGTGTAATTTTATCTGATGTACACATGGAACAAATGGAATTCGCTATATATCCAATATATTCCCCACTAAAATAAGAAGAGCATAAAGGCAGAATTTACACTTGCACAAGCCACTAAGACTAGTTTTTAAAAGAAATCTAAAAATGTAGCTCACAAAGGCGGTAAGAATCAGTAACTGTGAATTAGTCCATGATGAGGGGCGAATCAGGCAACCAAAATCCTGCAGTACTGCGAGAGCTTTTGCTTACTGCTCCTTTCTCCCATGCTGGGGTGGGAAAACATTGCTACTTAACAGGAATGCCACCGGGAAGCAGAGAGGTTTACACCCGAGCTGCAGCAAAGCATCCATGCCGCTTCAGTATGGTAGGAGTTGGGGGAAAACCTTCCAGGACAGAAGCAGTTTGGAAATGAGGACTGGGAAGATTTGTTTTATTTTCACATAGGATCATCTTTCATCCCACTTAATACAGCTTTTTTGATTTCTTTCCATGAATGAGCTATTCATATGTTTCCATTTGTGATAATCCGTGAGCAAACTGTGGAGCTCAGAATGAGACAGTATCATGTCCTGGTAGTTTTAGAGTGCTGCAGAATTTCCTTTGTTCTAAGATGTCTATCAATTATTGCAAACAGAGATTCTACATTTTGTTCTTGAATGAGATTCTACAGAAGGCAAACCATATGTTTCCTATGTTTCTTTGTTTACAATTTTGTATTAGAAGAAATATTTAGTAACTATTCATGGGCACTTCTGTAATAAAAGCTTTTAAATGAAGCTTTCTTAAGAAAAAGTGATGGGTTCACTCCATTTGGAACTACAAAGAGGTAATTCCCAAGGGACAAAAAATATATATCCAAGAAACAGTGATAACAATATAGTGGAAAAAGCAAATGACACTCTAACACGATAGAAAGCTAGCAAAGACATACGGGTAAGGATTTTAAGTTGGAGCATAAAGGAAAAGAGCTAATTAATCCCACTACATTATTCAAAAGTAAATGGGAATACTTCTACCAGCAGAAGAATCTTTGCAGAAATTAGATTTGAAAAGAAGACATTTTTCCTCGGTATTTCTGAATGTTGAACAGTAATTTTAAATTACCAGAATGTCCACTAATAGTCCCAGGGAGAGTTCCTTAAAAATGAACAAACATGAAGCAGTTTACGAAACCCTTGACCCAGTGGGTGCCAGCTCACACCACAGCACTCACTTTGGCCTATTTGGAGCTTGTTTACACGGGAACTATCCCTTCCCCTACACCCAAATAAAACTATATGCAGAGAGAGTCATTCRAAACTCTTTGCTTTTCCATTTTCAATTCACACAATAGGTTCACTCCAGAATAATTTAACAGATGAATCTTTACTGACAGTGCATGTTTCTGGTGGTTTATTTGGCACAAATGGATACAATTGTTAGAGAGACTAAAAGTCATCATTTTGGCTGAAAAACCTAGAAAATAGTTTGTTTGGGGAAGACGGTGTCAGCTGAAAAGCAAAGAGGGGATTAAAAGAAAAGGTAAATTCAACCTGAACAAAAGCAGGTGTTATTGGCACCTGCTACAATATCACAATCTATCTAGGGGTATAAACAGACCATACTTGAATGGCTAGACACTTTGGGATGGAGGAAAAGGGATCTTGCAGGTCAATAGTTTATCACCCAACCAATACAGTGACTGTAAAACAAAACATGCTAAATGTAGTGGTTGCTTTCAGTAATGGGGTCACCAATCATATATACACACACTAAATCACTGCAATTTTGTCTTCTGAAACAGTAGTTTAAATATGCTTAAGCTGAAAAGGTAAGAAACCTGTAGGCCTGATGAAGAGGTAGCCATTATTACACAGAGGCTTCAAGTTGTAAACAGGCATTTTAATRCAATTAATATTTTCATACAAACCTTATCTTAATTGTCAGTCAATCTTTTTCTCTAATGTACCAAGAACTCATCTTAGCTTCACTAACTGCAATAATTATAAAATAATTGTAATAAAAATACAACAGAGATATTATAGGTCATGAGTATCCTCAGTTCATTTTAATGGGAAACCAACCTAACAGGAAGACTTGATTTCAGGGTTGAGTAGCATTTCAATACTTCAATAATATTTACTTCTTTTAAAAGTTTTTAATACCATGCTTGAATTTAGAATATTAAATCTAAAAATACTTTCCCGGAGCATATTATATTCAAGGTTTTAGGGTAGTTTTTTTTCCCCATTAGCAAAATGTGTTATGTTATATAAAAATATGTTCTTTGATCATAACCTCTAATGTTAACATGATTGCAGGTCAGACACTTTGAATAGATGTCAGGTTCTTTCTGAAGCTTGGAAATTAATCTGCAGTGCTTTGTTTTCATTTATGTTGAATAATCAACTTCTCTGAATATGGCTCTAGCAAGAAACCTTCATATTAGAATATTGTGATGAGAACTGTGGGCAGTCCTCACACYACAGAAATTCTAATCACTTAGATTGATTTATGATAAAATAAAGACTTATGTACTCATTTACGAAAAAAATAGCCGCATCTACATTATACTTACATCTCTAAACTGTAATTATTTATTTTATACTATAGATTAGCTAGGGCTAGCTTTTTTACATTATTAATTATAAGCAGAATTAATTATTAAAACACCAAGCCAAACTGTAACAATTTCAAAGACTTTTAAAAAATAGTTATGGATCTTTATTTTAGCTTCATGTTTAAACTAATGAAAAACATGCTACTGGCTGTTAAAAAGGATTTACTACTACAATTAACTAATGTCCTTCTTTCTCTGMTGCTGACGTAAAATATCACCACATATGTAATAGTTGCTTTTTTTTTTTTTTTTCATTCTGTTGTGTAAGACAGAATTTCTTTGTGTAAGAAAGGGGCCCCTTTGTCAGCCCCCCCCTTTTTTGTGTGTTCTTTTCACATTTTTTCACTAACACTTCTTTTCTAGATTCTCCCAGATGTTTTTTTGAGCTAAAAATCTGTTTTTCAACTTAATAGGTCATTAATCATGTAAGCAACTTACAGCTACCAACTGTAGATACATTAAAACAAGCAGAYTGACAGGTAGAAAGGATGTTTTAAAGTTAAGTTCACACAACTGTAAGAGACAGAGGAGGAAAATACATCCAAATKTAGTAACTACTCACGTAGATGCCCAACCCATTAAAGGGTTCTCCCAGCGCTCCCTGTTATCAAATTCCATCTTCCACTTCTTGGTGTTGTTAACTCCTGCCTGCATTGCGTTACGTGCTGGGACAAAAATGTGAACTTTCCTGGTTTTGATGTGCTCCTCTGGAACACCAGTTAAAGTAGTGATATCCTAGGAAAGAAATAATGAATTTTGTTAAAAATGATTCACACTGTTATTTGAYAAGCCTTTAATGTTTACTATTTTTATGCTGTTTTGTCATTTTTAAAATTACAATAAAAAATCACAAGAATAACCATTATGAGAACAGTTTTATAAAACTGAAGCTGTTGCAGGTTGGGGTTTCCATCACTCTGCTTCCTTTAACTGGGTTAGATTTTGCATGGATCAGTTTTCTGAACGTGGACACYATCCTGCACAACTCCCAGTGCCAGGGAAGGGACAGGATGTCTCCAACACTCAGCCATGAAGTCACCACTGCTCCAACACACAAGCCAAGGCAGATGTGGAAAGGGAACGTATGCTCTTCCTCACTCCACCTCCTTTGAGGAAAAAATAGAGTACAGATGGACAATAACTGTTATTTTATGTTAACAGGGAGAGCCTAGGCCTCATATAAATGGTACTGCTTGCCAAAACCAGAGCTAGCTCACTAGGGGTTCAGTGAAGGGCTTTTGCTTGTGGTTAGCATGAAGGAAGAGGCAGGCGGTTCGCTACCTTTTCCRCAATAAAACCGGTCAAGATAGTAGAACCAGTACTAGAATCCMGCTCTCTTACTTCTCTAATCATTAGGTTATCACATAAAATTGATTTCTTTTCTTTAAATGGTAAGGTTAAAGTGTCACACTACAGATTTGTTTTCCAGAGTCACTTCTTAGTACTACAGGCTAATGCTCAGGATCCAGAGATGAAAAAAAATCATCAAGTATTTCAGATCTCTTCAGGTAACTTAGAAGTTCCCCATCTCGAGATCTCACAGTGCAGAAYGATAAATGCATATATACATATATATCAAATATATATATTTTTGGAAGAACTCAGCTTCAACATATGCAGATTAGGAGCTATCTGATACAGCACTGCTAATCTCATGCCAAGACCAGGGGCTCTAACATTGAGCACAGAAACATCCAGGCCTATCATTACTCAAGCCCTTTTGTCAGTTCGAGCCCACATTTCTTAAAAAGGCACGGCAGTTATATGAGTTATATGACATTTTTGATAGGGAGGTTTTTTTCAAGCTTTCACACCATTTGATACCGATAACATTCTTGGGCAATTTTGTGAAACAGAACAAGATTCAGGAGATTCCAACTTGCAAAGAAAACGGTTTATAAAACGTTACAGAGTCGACAGCAGGATGTCCTCCTACTACGGCTTCAGTTGTGCGCTCTAAACAAATAAACGGAACAGAAGATAAAACTGAAGTATCATAAAAACAACCCAAAAATGTGAGCAGATTTTAACAAGGAGCAAGACAGAGAAAAATCTCACTAGAATTGATATGAAAAAWTATTCTCACAAGCATGGATATAATTAAAGTGAACCTTCTCTTTAAAAACTAAACAGTAATTACATAAAATTAACCTGTCAGTTCATCCTAGTACAGTAAAGAGAGCAAACTCAAACATCAAATACTTCCTCTAAGGATGCTAAACTGCTCCTGACACACACTTAAAAGGGCAGCGGTAGCTCCTGGGTCTCCCTCTTCCCAAGAACAAACTGTAACCTGGTAGAAATCCAAAACATGTAGCAGAATGTCAGGCACATTGAGCTCATCTTGCTCGTGGGGGCAGGACTTGAATGAAAAGGCAAACAAGTTTAAATAAAACACTGTGGGTTTACACATCTGCAGCTACTAACGTCACAGCATTTTGTTTTGTGGCCAACTTGAAAGCTCCTGAKGCTGTCACCAGATCGTCCTTCAAAATGAGAAGCATCTCATTTTTCATTTCCCTTCAGAAACTAAACTTTGAGGGATCAACCACTTAAAACTGCAGCAGGGAGCAAGTTTTAAGTATTTGTCTTGCATTCACAACTAGAACACACACAAATACATAGATATATACACACACAGGTACACAGAAAATTTGGGAATTCTAAAAGTTTTACTTGGACTACCTATAAGAAACTGCCAAAATATCTTTAGAATTTAATTATACATGTTTCATTAGAACCATATATATATATATATATATATTTACTCATAAGTCTAGGCAAGACATGAAAAAGAAATATTACCAATTACCAAAATGTAGCAACACATACACAAAAAAACATCTTTACAGACTGGCATTTACAACTGCTTCAGCTTAAAGCAAAGTTTTAGAAAGAAAAAGCTTAAAGTTTTTGTATTTCAATGGGCTAACTGCTATGTTTAACATTTTTTTTCCCACCTGCAGTACAACTTTGGTGGGACTTCAATGTTAGTTTGCAAGTTTATAGAAAAAGGCCAGTAAATTTTCCTTTATCTATAAATTCTCCAAAATATCTCTGTGAGAAAATATATAAATCATTCATGAAAAAATTGATATTTATTTTTAAATAATTTGGATCCTRTGGTTTCATCATCAAATACTTCCAAACTTGCAAGCATCAAATAGACAAAAATGTTAAAAGCCTTTTCACTACTATTCCCAACAGTTTGTACATCCTCTATAAATTCACACTTAAGATTTAGAAGTACTTCAGAGTTATCTGGGATTAAAATAAAATGCCACATTAAATGACACCATGGACTTAATCAATTTCCTCTTTTGAAACATATGGATGCTTTATACCCATAAAAATTTAATATATTAGTGCATACAGAATGCAATATAAAAATATACTATGGAAAGTTGGTGAACTCTCTATTTATGACACAACGGTAGCAAAGAAATGCCTAAACTCACTTATCTGGATAAACGGRAAAGCAAAATCCCAAACAAACTCCAAGCAGCTCCAGGACACATTTTTGGGCACTCAGCTGGCTGTGAATCCAAGTTATTTTACTAATAAAATGAGATGCATCCCATAAAAATCTTTCAAGGTGAAAACTGAAACCTGCCTACTTTCAGGACTTAAAATAACTGCTCGGTGCTGCTAGCTCTTCATCCTTTGACTCATTAGAGCTAACGCTTCCATGCCTTCTGGGAATCTGGCAATTGTTTATTGATATCTTCCCCAGTTTAAAGCTGGCAATTGAACAGACAGTTGTTAGGACAATGAGCTTCTGGATTCCGAAGCCCAAGTTGTCCTGACACAAAATCACTGTTTTTGCCTGCAGTAGACATGTAAGGTACTGTAGCATAGCTGAGCTGTTGCCAAAGATATGGAATAAAAAGGCTTGGCATCTATCACATACTTGACACCTAAAGAGCACAGAAGCTCTAAAATTCCTATTCCCTGTAGGCGCACTCTTAGTCTAGACAAACTGATTTCTCACACTTTTAAAATGCATTACAACACTCTATTGTGATCATTTCATCCACACAGCTCCAGCTAGTGACAGAAGAACCTGTCCTTTAAGCGACATTTCAATGGGCTAAAGCTCCCGCTCCAAGATTCCATTAAAACAATATAATACTTGAAAAGAACTGTGCTGCACTGGGTTGAACTCTCTACTGTGTCTTCAGTGCTTTGTTCCGAGTTCATTGAAACTACCTGTGAACCAGCTTTCCAAAACAAAGATGTTTTTGACAGCAACTTTCACATCACCATCTTTAAGGCTCCTTACTGCATTTTGCTCTATTAGCATATGAAAATATTAGTGAGATGCTCAGCATCAAAAATTCAAAGTAATTAGCTGTAGCAGACTGCATTAAAAGAGTTGGTTTGAACTGCATTGATTTACTTTGCTAAAAAATTAAAAACACTTCACTTTTAATGCAGGTTGCCATCTAAGAATGCATTCTGACACAGTCTTTCTTAATACATATATAGCCTTTTTAAAATCGTAACTTCTGAGCTTTTAAAATATCAATTTAAGAGGCATTTTGGTTCCTGGAATAAGTTGAGGGAGACTAAAATGACACTCTTTTTTTAAACGGCGGGAAACCACATCACATTGCTTAAAAATCAGGAGCAGTTTGCCTTTATTATAACTTACACTATTTAAGAACCCTTGTCATGGTAGAAAGCCTGGTAAAGATATTCCTGAAAGAGCAACAGAAGCTGCTAAAAGTGCTGCAGAGCAGACAGACACACTGGCTCACAGATGCAGCGTCAACGAACGGCACCTTCAGCGAATGGTGACTGCAGGAGGAAAGGAAAATTTCATCCAGGAGCCCACCAGCAGCCAAATTCCAAGGGAAACCCCAAGGAGAACTCTGTAACGCCAGGGAAAGCCAGCAAGGCATTTAAAATACCCCTGTAAACAAGGAGTTTTGAATAGATGAGTCAGGTGTGCCTCAAGGTGTCCCGCTTCTCCTATGACATTTCTTTCCATGTACAGACAAAAACTGTCCATAAATGCCATCAAATATCTACTGTTTAAGCCCCCCCCTCCTTTTTTTTTTTTTTTTTTGAAATAAAGGAAACAGGGAACAAGCAATGGGAAGTTGATGTCAAAACACAGAAAAACCTCCCAGCAAGCTTCCAGCAACCACCCAGGATTTAGAGTCTTGCTAGGCGCTCTCTTTTCAATACCAGAATTTCACACATTTCAATGACCATTATGACTTCAAAGAATCAAATTTTCATCATTGTCCGTCATCTGCCGGTTGATTTGTATAAAGGAGTTCTTCTGCATGCACTCCAGACAAAGGGCTCCTTACTTTCGTGGCTATATATCAAGTTTAAAAGTTCTGTTTGTGACAGTTGTGTCTGTGGTAAATTAGGGTAACACTGAAGGAGTGCAGCTGCTCCGCAGGAACCTCCTTTTTGGCATCATTTCACTTAAATAAAAACTGAATAATTAGCTTCTGCCTTTATTAAACCGCAAAAATGCCACTGGCCTTAGTAATTACTTCCGGTTGCCCCACCTACTTAACCTCAGTAGTTTACACTTATTCAAAAGGAGGAAAAGTTGAAGTTTTCAGTACTTTATAGGAGTTTACAGCAGCTTGCTTTCCTCCCTGCGCCCAGCATGTTGTAGCTGACAAAGTGCATAAAGTTTTGCTATAAATTCATGTTGCAATACATTTTCTTTAAGGGCTGCTATATCAAAGCACAGAACAGGACATGGAACA